AACGAGGCCCACACCAAGCTAGGGATATCTCTTCAATCTCCCAGGAGACCCATCAGACGCAGAGTTCTGCAGGGAGCCAGGCTGCTTTCCCCTCACCACGGCCGAAGGGAGCGTGGCGACATGCGGCTCGGCCGGGTCGTTTCGACCGGAGGGGGTCTGCGGAATCCAAAAATGAATGAAAGCCGGAGCGGGATATTGCTCTTGAAATCCTAGGATCACCTCGACAAAAAGCGTGAAATTAATCAACATTATTATATAACACATTGTGTAGACTCCAGACCAATTGCAGGTATTTAATGTTCCCTTCTGTAAGGAGCGTTTAACCTTTGCAAAAGTTCAGGGAGATCCGTGAAGGACAGGACAGCTGCCAGCAGGCACTAGGGTCATTATCTGAAATGTTGAGTCCTCGCTTGCCAAAGGCTAAAGAGACCTCTTCAACATTTAGTTGGATGGATGTCCTTTGTCCCGGAGCCTCCAAGTACCTAGATGGATGCAATTACCTGATTTTGTTCGAGTCATTTTCCATGTTCTGCACTGTATGCGACAGGTGCACGTTTTGACAAATTCCCCAACATCTCGCATGGAGTTCTTGTTCTAGCAATCTGACCCCACCTCCAGGCGCTGCTAAGTGAGAAATTGATGAGATATCCTTCATGTCAGAGTCATCATTTAGTCAAACATGAGTCTTTAAACATGTTATGTTTTGGCTAATTGTTTGGCTCAATCCTACTTTTGGTGCACATATACAGGTCCTCAATTCAATAAACCTGGAGGTTGAACTGTAGAGGAAACACAATTGCCTTTTGGTTTACTGGATAGAGGTAGAAGATTTCGACAAGCCTGAGTCTTAGTCCATTGTTTGGTGATATACTCCGCATTGTAGTACTCAACCTGCTATTCCTATTCACTTGGACCAACCGAACATGATCCCACACACCTGTTGTCCAGTCCCAACTCCTACAATTTGCTATCATCCATAGTGACCGGGATTAGCATGGATTAGCTACATAGTGATCCTGGCAGTCGTATCACCCAACTGGCTTACGCTCACTGGTCTCCATCCCCAAAGATCCCCTCAAAAAAAGGCCGCGGTCCCACCGCTTCGGAGGGCACCGGTCCTCCGCCGCGTCGCCCAGGAAGCGAAGGGTGTGTCCAAGCGCTATGGGCTTTCCGCAGAACACCTGCGGTGCCTGAAGCACTCATTCAGACGGAACAGGACATCGTGTGGAGGTGGGTGACCGACTTTTCATGACCTGGATGGGATGAGCGTAATGGTTGTGGTTGGTGATAACATGAGCGGAATGGTTTTGATCCAGCTGGAAATTGGGTCGAAGTGAAGGAAACACTCTTCTGTCTCAATTGAAAGATATTGCAATTCCAAGCTCGTTCCCGAGTGTGTTTCTTTTGGCGGATCCCCTTGATTGCAATCAAAACAGGCTCCGACTGTAGAGTGCACACCTTGCACAGGTTTAGCATTACATTGTTTGTAGCCTCAGCACATGGCTCCTCGCGCTGGAATAGTGGCCCATGGTTTGGTATAGATCGCTCCACATGGCCGATCGGACCATTTTTGCGCAACTGCAGGAATTTGTATTGATTCCTGTACTGGGGGAGGGATTATGACCACATATCCCTGCAACATTTTGAGCTTACCATTCCTGTGCAGGACACCTGTGTGCCCGTCTTCCCAGCTCACACTGTGCCCCTTTGTTTTCTTCGTCACGTACTATGACTACGATGGATCAAGCCTCCCGTCGGGTTGTCCAAGGACCATTGAAGCCTCCCTGCAGCGCAGTGCCAAGCCACACCGTGCTGAACGGCCAGAGCCGGCGCTGAAGGAGGTGGATTCGGCGGCGAAAGCGGCGCCGAACGAGGCGTCGGCGTCGGCGCAGACGACTTGACCGAAAGAGGTTTCACCCCCCAGAGGGAGCGGAAGGAGAAGTCCCGTTGGGCTGAAGGAGGGGTCGCAGCGTCTTTTCGTCTTTTCTGACATGTTCGATACACCAAGCACCAAGTGGCGAATGTGGGAAATCTGTGGTTTTCATTTCAGGTGGTGGGTTGTAAGTTATAAGTATTGTGCTGAACTTCAGAGTAGGTAACGCACAATGGCAAGAAAAAGCTATGTGGCCGAACCGTAAAGATTTGTGCCATTTGATATTCGCATGTATCACTTGATCTCAAGAGGCGCATTCAGTTGTTGTGATTCAGTCGTTGTTGTGGCAATGACTCGACCCCTTTTCGCCCATGGTCATGTCCTTCTTGTCGCTTCTGCCGGATGATCCGTGCGGCTCTGGACAAAAGGGACGAGAAAGAAGACTCGCTGCGTGGGGCTTCGAGAGGATGTGAGCCCCTCCCTCCTTATAGCAATGGCCTCCCTCCTAATAGGGATTGCCTCCAACCCAACAGCGATGGCCTCCAACCCAATAGCGATGGCCTCCAACCCAATAGCGATGGCCTCCAACCTAATAGCGATGGCCTCCAACCTATATAATAGCGATGGCCTCCAACCCAATAGCGATGTGAGCCTATAGTTGAAGCTTTTTGCTCAAAGACGTGGGCTCCCAACACTTGGAACATAGCGCGACCACCACGGCACAAGGGTCGCCAACTTGCAGAAGTGGAACTACAAAGTTTGCTACTTCCAGGGAACCAGCTTGGTGATGTGTTTATATACTGTATGTTTATATTGTTTTTGCTACTGTACTGGTTATAGTGATATGGGTACATGAATAGATATGAATAGTGTGAGATTGCCATGGATTTGTTGGTCATCCTATCAAGATGATGCCTGCGAAAACTTTTGTGTTCACATCTTTTCATCACTCCTGAAGGACTTGGTTGCTAAAGGATCCCAAATAAAAAACACTGCTTTTAGAAGTAGTTCATTGTGTGCCTTGATTGTTGTTTTCTTCCGCTTGATACATGGGTGCGCCGGCCAAAGTTCAAGCTGTACCGCTACCAACTCTACTACCAATCCGGCCCTAGGGTAGACTCCCACAGAGTCTACTGCTGTATGTCCCTCTTGTGTGTCTTCTTTCGGTTTATGTCAGTGATATATTTAGTGAGTGGTATTCCAAGAACAGCCGTCGAGTACCTCGGAATCTGAATAGATTGTCGTGGCTCATGGACCATAGGACTTGGGAATTACATGGGGATTCCTGTTGTGGAGCATGTGGAAGCCATATTACACAATTCTTTGACATACACACACTTATGGATATGCGTACTGACTTGACAGCGGTGCCACACGCCAGCCTAAGAAACCCAAATCCTGAAAGGTCCAGGAAAGCCCTAAAGAGCCTGGGGGTCTTCAAAAGGAAATGTGGCCCAAAGCGCAAGCCGGAGTCGGAGCGACAGGGTGACGTCGTAGCGTGCACATCTGCCGAGTGCATTAGCCCTTAACAAAAGTTCAAAAGTTCGAAGAAAGCAGGTACGTTGGAGTGGCCAACTCCGATATCACCAGATCAAATGGGCGTCTTCGTTGGTAGCGGTCCCAAATGATCTGCCGCTACCCCCTGCTCAAAACAAAACAATTCAAAAGAATCCCTGTGACTACAAGGGGCACACACACACACACGCCTCCCCGAGGGGAGGCGTAAAGCTAAGGTGAGGGCCAATGTGCACGTGTGCGCGCACAAGAGACAAAAGAATGAAGACATGACAGGAGGACGAGACGGGACAAAGGTGCGTGTGGTTGAAATGAAAGGGGAACCAAGTGCACAGGGACACCCGATGAAGCCCACCTCATTGTAAAGACCTGGGCGACCCGAAACCTGTGTTTAAAGGTATGTAGAAGTGCACGTACACACTAAGGCCGGGACCAATGTGCGCGCAAACGAAGAAAAGGATGAGATGACCAGACATGAAGACAGGAGGACATGAAAGAAAAGAGGAAACAAAAGTGTGTGAAGGGGAAGGGATGAAAGGGGAACCAAATGGAGGGGACGAGAACCGATGAAACCATACCTCATTAAAAGCGCCTAGGGACCTACCTCGTTTGAATGTAAGCGCTGTGTGTGCACCTGAGAGTAGGACAGGTTCCAATGAACCTTGAACAAACTTCGGCCGCTGCGGCCACGTACGCCGTGCCAATATGGCTGGCTGCTCTGACCGCTGTGGTCACGTATGGGCATGCGGCATGAGCCAACTTGGAATTCCAAAAATGAGACAAGTTTGAGTGCTCTCGGCCTAGGCCACCTCCGCCCGCTGTGGGCACGTACGTTTCCAAAGCAAGGGAAACATTGACTGACACCCGTTCGACGGGTCCACGGGAGGCACTCTACGGGCTCATCCCGGACTCTCACTGGGAGAGACACACTTATGGATATGCGTACTGACTTGACAGCGGTGCCACACGCCAGCCTAAGAAACCCAAATCCTGAAAGGTCCAGGAAAGCCCTAAAGAGCCTGGGGGTCTTCAAAAGGAAATGTGGCCCAAAGCGCAAGCCGGAGTCGGAGCGACAGGGTGACGTCGTAGCGTGCACATCTGCCGAGTGCATTAGCCTTTAACAAAAGTTCAAAAGTTCGAAGAAAGCAGGTACGTCGGAGTGGCCAACTCCGATATCACCAGATCAAATGGGCGTCTTCGTTGGTAGCGGTCCCAAATGATCTGCCGCTACCCCCTGCTCAAAACAAAACAATTCAAAAGAATCCCTGTGACTACAAGGGGCACACACACACACTAGAGGCAAGCCAATTGCTCCTATCAACATGGAAGGGACAGGGGTTTATGGTCTTTCGTGTGAATCTTTGAGCAAGTGAGACGGGCTTGGACAGCTTGAGGTCTTTTGGGCGCTATTTCTTCTAGTTGAAACCAACACTTGGTGTATTGATAAGGACGCTACTAGGGGCTCCTGGCCTTACTACTAGTAACAAGGACGCTACTAGGGGCTCCTGGCAATGCTACTAGCAGCAAGGACGCTATTAGGAGCAAAGGGCATTTCTACTAGGAACAAGGACGCTATTACATTGAGAAACATCCGACAGAACACATCACTAAGGCTCCATTGTGGCGGCCGTGGAGAAGGGCAGGGCCATCTACTCGGGTATCCAAAAGTTTGTGTCTCGGTCAACGTGATGTGATGTGGTTGTGCTCAGAAAAAGGGCGACGCAGCCCTCGATGGAGCAAGAAATAGCAAGAAAGTCAATGGATGCCCAACGTGTTTTATTTTTTTGTGAGCCACATCAACGGACTACCATCCATGTCTCGATCTGTCATTTTTTTTTTGACCCACATCCAATGGTCCACAGGGTGTTGCGTTTCAACCCATGGGTCGCGACATGCGAGGCGAAACCGGTTCGTCCAGATCACGAACTCTGGTTCAACCGAGGGAAGGGTGGTGGGTGAACCATTAATATCCATTAATTAATTTCTCTCACTCTTATCTTACTTTAGACATTTACTGTAAGGAATGAGCCTAGTAGTCTCTTTGTTTGTCTCATCTTTAGTTAACCCCTACCCAAAACATTAGTTGGAACATGTCATCATGTCACGCAAAAACCTCTGGATAAACACATGTTTTTTTTCTTTTCATGCGCCGGTGGTGAGAGGCCGGTGACCGAGGTAGATGTTTGGGTAAGGTCACCATGGGAAATTATCCCCATAATGTTCCCTACCAATGCTCAGGAGGCAGGTGGATTCATCACATGCCTGAGTTGCTGAGGTTCAGAAGGATTCTGCTGCAAGCTTCACCTAAGAGCCTATAGAACAGAGTGACCTTCTTTGCCAACAGCACTGTGGCCTTTCTGCTTCGCTCTTCAGGTGGCCTTCATCATGTCCGTGCACATCGCAGAGGCACAATGTGCACATCCGTTGGGGTGGAGGGAAATGGTCGAACACCTTGTGGTGGTTAGGGAGGTTGTGGGAGGTGGAAATTGGGCTGCGTTTGGGAGCATGCCAATCCCTTTCAGAGTGTTTCTTTCCCCAGTGCAAGAAGCCTAAAGCCTACTACCATGCCGCCTTTTCAGGCTTTCCAGGGTCCAAATAGATGAATCTCATCAAGGTACACAGTCTATACTAAAGAGGAACTGATTCTGCTTGTTGGGAGACACTAACAAGCAGACCTCTTGATTTTGTGAACGGTTTTATTTGATTTTCAAGAAAGCTGAATCACAGTCAGTGCGAGTTCTGGGCCTTTTTGTACGTATTTTTGCCAGTGTGACAAAGCCCCCAAACTTCATACCCTTTGTTTCCTGCATGAAGCCAACAGTAACAAGAATGTTTCGCTTTTGACAGCGAAAAAACAGGTGAAACCAAACCAGACCAATGAGATCCAATGAGTTCCACAAGAACCTTGTCAAGCGTGTGCTCGTCGACGTACTCGTGTTCCACCGATGAGAAACATGCACTCGTGAAGGAGCCCGTCCATCAAGAAGCAGGCATAAGCATGAAGACGGCGTGTGTGCCTCCGGATCTACGTACCTCAGAATCCAAGGTGTTTTTTTTTCATTTTTTCCGGTGTGGGCAAGTGGAGGATCAGTCCATTTCTTGAGTGGTACTGGATTTTTCCAAGAAATGCCACCTTGGAAAATGTAGAAAGAGTTTGAACATTCTGGAACCTTTGTTCAGGCTGTCATTCTTGGGGAGTTTCTCCATCATCTCCATCTCCATCTCCTCTCCTCGCGCAGCCTCTCCGGCTGCGCTGGGAGACGCTTGGACCGAGCTCTGCCAGGTGATGCAAATCTTCGTTTGCATCGCGGCTGGCGTGCCGGTGATGAGGACGGAGTCGAACTGTGCTACGCTGAGCTACGCGGATATGTGCGGATGATTGGTGGTGGGTCTCATCCACAATTGACTCCTGTTTTACTGACTGGCACATTAGTAAGGAACAAGGGAATGAACGGAAAGGAATCATCCTCAACATTGCAATACTGTAATCTCATTCCCTCCTTTAAAACCTCAAACATCCAACCCGAGTTGTACGTCATGGTCAGGGTTTTCCGTGGTCATTGCTGGCCAGGACTCCTTTGCAGATCCTCTTTCTGATTTTGGTCACCGACCTTCCTCCCTCCATCGCCCTGGGCATGGAACCAGGGGAGCCGGGCATCCTCAAGCTGCCGGGACGCCCGGGAGCGGGAGCCTCCTGTTCTGGAGAGCTGTCCGGAGACCTCCCAGGCAACGACCCCCCTGGAAGGCTTGGAAAATAGACCAGTCTATCCAGCCAGTACCAGGGGGGTGACCCCTATTTCTTATACACACCCAACCCTACACGCGAGCTCTGCGACCCCCGGCGTCGGCTTGCCTCGGCTTGGTGATCAAGAACCTCTAGTCCAGTGAAAATAGTAGCATTTAAAGGAACCGGTACCTATTTTCATTGAAGGACTAGCAACATCCGACCGGTACCAGTGAAAATCCTTGAATGGGGAAACTGGGTGTGGAGGAAAAATGCTATGGAAAAATGCCATGATATGACGAGATGTTCCAAAAGCGGTTTGCCATGGAAGTGGACAAACCCAGTTTGTAGAGGAAAGTGTTTCCAAGACCCATTCGTTCGATGCCCGAGGCGGCCGAGACCGAAGACTGAACCCATCGCCGCGGCCCTTAGAATGGTGGCAAGGGCGGCTTCAATGGAAGTGCTTGGATAGGTTTTCTCGAGTCATGTTTGCATGTCTATAGGTACAAATTGAGTGTCCTGGTAATTATTTATTTTTATTTTTTAAATAATTACTTCTAATGAACTCGTGACTGAACACTGGCATATTGTATACATTATATGTATAGGTTTTCGCTGATGTTTGTCTCCAAGGCCCTGGAAAGGATCCGATACAGTTGCTAAGCTGCTAGCTTTTTGGAACCTGGTCTCTGTGTTCAACCACTTTGGCTGTTGGGCAGCAGTATGCTTGTGGTAGTGCTTGTGGTGGAATGTCTGATACAGTAAATCTCGGGGATCTCGTCGATGAGCTGGATGAATGCTTTGGGAAATTATGAAGCTAAGGTCGCTAGCTACCTTGGGGTCAGGATTTTCTCTTAAAATCGACGATGTTCTTTTGAAACAGCCAACACTTCTGATTTCCTCACGAAGGTTTCGAATGAGTACTGGCTCCTTATCAACTGGTCTCTTGCACAGACTCACAGACCCTATGGGGAATTGAACATCCGAACGTAGAGGGACAATTTAGGAACTGTACTGTTCACCCTATTCTTAAGATTATTGTCCTCGTACTGGCAATCCACTGTCAGGAGAAGAATAACGTACTACACAACCATCCAAAGGGGAGAACAGATTTGAAAGCACTTAGATGTTTTTGTTAATCCAATTTGGATGTTCTTTTTCTCCCGAAACCGGTTCGGACGGCTTTCTTCTTCAGCACTTTGCTGCTCAAACAGTCCTCCCTGCAGAGAGTCTTGCCTGGCGCTGGTGGTAGTAATCGAGGAAACGGCGCCATGGGGGCCTGCCAGGCAGTACCGCAGACCGAGGTCTGCGTGGAGAACTGCTTTGCACCTTGGTTTCAGACCGGGGGGTGCAATGTTTCAGCAGAGCGGAACCGATGATTTTTGGGGATGTCTTTTTTGGATGCAAAAGAGATAGATGAAAAGGGAGCTGAAAACACACCCTATGCAGAAGCAGAGCTGGCCACTTCCAGGGTCTTGGACAAATGATATTTTCTGCCTCTTCCGAAATATGAATGATCCAGCCCAGGTCCTTGACCTAGCAAACACTCCAGATCTGGGTGCTCACTCCAGATCTGGGTGCTCATCGTCCAGCGCTCAGGCAACCATGTGGGTTGTCAAGGTCGGTGACTTCCTTCGAATGGCGCATCCCTTCCCCAGCGCTTTGGCAGAGTGTTGGTGAGCCGTGAGCCGTGTTGGTGGAGAGCGAAACGGACGAAACGACTTGCTATTAATACCAAAACGATCAGAATCTTACAACTAAAAAAAGCACAAATCGGAGAGGGAAGGTCCTTTGACATTGACACGTTCTGTTTGAGCTACATGACGGGCTGATTGTTGTTCCCTGTTTGCCCCGAGGCTCATCTAGCTTGAACCGGGTGTCTTCCAAATAGCAAGTGGATGTTTGATTTGGAATAGAACCTTGTTGTCAAGTTTCTTGCTGGCTCCGTTAAAAGCATGTAACACAGCCATGTAGTTTGTTTGGTCCTGCTTGGGAGCAAAGAGCTCTAAGAATGAGGCAACATCCACATGCGCCTGATACACTCAAGACTGACCTATATATACAGTCATGGAACTTCAATAATTTAGATTTCTTCGTAGTGGGCAGCCATGCCAGCGTGGAGATATGATGATGATGGATTCGTTTCGTGTGAAGAGTCTGCAGAGACCATCTCCTTCCTCACAACCACGAACATAATCCACCGCTTCTGGCGCCACAGCCAAGCACCACTATTTCAAAAGTTTTGCGCCGCATTTTGATAGAGCTTTCGCTTCAAGATATTTAAAGCACTTGGATGGAGAACGTGGACCTGTTGGAGCTGCAAAAAGAAAGGCTTGACTTTGACCGGGACGTTGCAACTTCAATAGGTCCAACTCGTACTTCACACTATTTGCCAGATCTTTCTCGACCCTCTGCGGAGTCATGTGTTGATGTAGGTCTGTGCGGCCTCGAGGATTGCCTGAGCCAGCTGGAAGCACCAACCACTGCGCTTATATGCTGATTGCTCAATATGCCCAGCTTGGACGTGTAACTTTCTCGGTTTGACACTTACCTTGTATTGGTGCTCAGGAGCGGAGGCTCAACGATCTTGGATTGAAAGATTATAATTGGAGCAGTCGGATGCAAACACCTGAAGCTTGTAGGTGCAATGTGCGCCCGAAGCTTCAGTGCCTTGCGCCCGGCCAAGCTCGATCAATGGGGCCTTGCAGGAATGAATGAGTTGGAGACGGAAAACCCGTCACAATTTTGCCAGCCAAATTGATTTGGCCGGGAAAACCCGTCACGTTTCAGACCGGGGCCCCAGCCCCAAAATGTGATGGGTTTTTTGAAAAACCCGTCGCAATTAAATAAGGAAAAAGAAAACCCGTCAAACTTTCCAGCTCATCCCCAACTTCAAAAAGTGATGGGTTTTTCCAAAACCTATGGAATTGTGATGGGTTTTTTAAAAAACCCATCGCTTTTCTGGGGCCAGCCGAGCTTCCAGATTGTGATGGGTTTTCTGAGCAAAACCACCCAGCCAAATGGATTTGGCCACCAAAAATGTGATGGGTTTTTAAAAAAACCCGTCGCAATTTGACCAGCCAAATCCATTTGGCCGGGAAAACCCGTCACAATTTGACTAGCAAAATCCATTTGGCCAGGAAAACCCGTCAAAATATAGCCAGCCAAATCTTTTTGGCCAGGAAAACTTCGAACACTTGGTATACCTAGGGTCCAACCGCTTTGCACTTGGAGTAGTGAGGTGTTGCAAAACCTGTTTGGCGTAAAGGACTTGTCACGATTTTACTGTTAAATTGTGTTGGTTCAGTAAGGACACCTCAGTTTCCAACAAAGACCAAAGCAGAAGGGCCGGGGCTTTGAGCTGGGTGCGCTTAACCTTGGTAGGATATTTGACTGCCAGCTAGTTGGCAGCCGGTGTGCCCGTTTACTGGCAGCCACAACCTGTTTGAGTTTGTGGTGTGTGCTTCTTGAAGCTTCAAGCTTCTGGAGGGCCTTAGGACGAGGTGAGAGTTGTTCGAGTAAAACGGTCGCGTCCGTTGAAGGTTGCCTTGAAGCTTCGTGATTCTTAGAGCCGCGGCTTGTTGAGGCGATGTGGTAGCGGGGGGACAATATCGCGTCACATGGACGATCAAAGTGAAAAATGGCATAAGCGAAGATTCAACCTTTTGACCTGCTGGCTTGGTTGCAATGTGCGCATGGAGCCTGGTAATTGAACTTGGTGCTATTTGCTATCATTATGGTTTTGAATGGGATGCCACGTGATGCGTGCAAGTGCTGATTGTTTGCAAGTTGCAGCAAATTCTGCGAGTCCGTGGAAAAAGCTGCCAGCTTGTGCTTTGGAGTTTACCGGACGGGTAGAAATTTGGACACCCACTCGCTATTTGGAGGACACCCGGTTCAGGCTAGATGAGCCTCCCGGCAAATCCCGTTTTTACCGGTTTTCAACAGCTGAGCAACCCTTTTGGGGGGATTCGAAACGAGCAACCAGAGCAGCAGCAGCAGCAGCAGCAGCTGAGACAGAGACAGCTTTGAGAATATGGGTGTATATTGAGACCTCAAAAACTCCCTAAAAGAATGGAAATGACCAGTCTACCCATTGGTTGGGGGTCTTTTTCTTAAAGTAATTACACACTGACACACAGGTCAAGTCAGACGAATTTGGTCCACCAGACTCAACACTCTGAGAAACTTGAAATTTGGTCTTCAGTTGTGTTTTCTGGCAGATTCTATTCTTCTACTTGCTGCAGGATAATATTAGGCGGACTACTCCTGTAGAAATCTCGCGGTTACAACCACACCACCAGTGGCCCCGAGTGGAGACCCTCTCCCCCTCCCATCCGCTCACACTCCCTCGCCACTCAAGAGTGTGATCACGGAGGTCTCTGGCCGTAATCCCGACACAGCAAAGCACCAAAAGCAGAGATTTCGTGAACAGTTCCAACTTGAAGGATTGTTACCATACTTCAAACATTTCAAACATGGTTGGGTCTTCAGGTCCGGGAACCTGCTTTTGATTAACCCACCTGGGTTGGGTCTTCGTAAGGTTTCACCCCTGGACGACGAGGGGGGGAACGCCCACGATGAAACGACGTTCCCGGGGTCCGGGTTTGGACGATGTTCTGGGTCATCCCAGAAGCTCGGAAGCCAACGTGTAAGATCACAGGACGGCGCCTTCTGAAGCACAACCACCCTTTCACGGCGTACACTCCGGTCGCTCCGTCGCTCCAGTCCGACACTCCGGGCGACCGCTCCATTTTTCGCAATTCAGCGTGCCGGAACGCGACCGCCAGCGAAGGCCATGAGGAGTTGAAGGCCTCGGGCCTTCTCTACGAATGGCGAGAAGACATGCTGTGCATCTTTGTGTCACACCAGTGGTTGGGCCACTCGACTTCCCCGCGACGGACGGATGTCTGAGTCTCATTGGTTTCTGTGTGGAACCAGCTTGGGTGCTCTGTCTTGGCTTCAAGACGCAACTTAGTGCAGCTGCATCCACCACCCAAGTAAAATCAGGTGACAGGTGGGTGTTCAGGAATTTCAGCTGTTGTTCTCTTCCACATGTGGATGCACGTATGCAATTCATGGCATGTTCGTGATTTGCAATACGGGTTGAGTTTCTTTGAACTGGTTCCTTTGCAGAGTACAAAGCAGACTATTGCAGATCAATGTGTGTTCATGCAAGGAGTGGTCTAATCAACATGTGAACGGGACAGAGCATGAAAATTCCTGCATCGTACCTTCTGAAGAGCTGTGTGGATCCCAAGCAAGTGAAACCTAAGTGGTCTTGCCATCTGGGATATCACTTAGAGTAGAATTGTCCTGTTTATTGCGTCGGTCTTCATGGAAATCCAAGTTAACACACGACGGGTCAGACCGAAGTCGACGCACCTTTCTCCGCCGAGGACGGCGGAACCCTGACCCTTCGGGCCACCAGCTTCGAGTCTTACAGCCGCTGGGCTGCGTGCGGAGCCAGCTTTGGTCGCGCTCGCGCGGGTGCTCGCTCGGCCGGGTCCGGAGGTGCGGAGCAAGCGATGCAAGAGGATGTTCGAGCTCCCAAAATGATAGTACATGTAGACTCTTGATTAATACACCACCCCATTTGAATTGAACATCCTCTTCAAAGGGGAGGTTTATTAATTAAATATTCTACATTATAGAATCTGTTAGAATCCCTGGGTCCCATGGGGGAAGTTTTGATCTGGACCTCGTTTGCCAAAATATCCTTGGAAGAGATACACTCAGAACAAGTGCTGTGCGATCAATATGTTTCTTTACTCATAGTTTGCGGGTGGCCTGTCCTTGAAGGTGTCCTCAAAAAGAAAGGTAGAGGTTTCATTTTGCCCTGTGAAGGTAGATGAATCAAGCCTTCCCCGATGCTTGGTTCCGGTTTTCATATGGTTCCGTGCTTGGTTTTCTAAACCTAGAGGTTTTGCCGCCTGCATCCTGTCGTGACATGTTCCGATTCTGGTTCACCCTGTTGGTGGCGGGTCGTGTGCGGCGGGTCGTGGGTGTTGAAGCAGTGGAGCGAAAGAGAAGTAACATACTCCTTGTAGTCTTGTAGTGTATATATTATGGACCTATAGTAGCAGAGATTGACATGTCCAAATTGAACAGGTTTCCAGATTTTCACACCAGGTTTGGTATGAAGCACCAAGGCAAGCCCTTGAGAACATCATGGGCGGCCGAACGCAGGTGCCTTGGAAAGGTAGCGAGACTTATGATGACTTACACGATATTTGCTGGCCAATGAACATAGTTCCATCAAAGGGCCATGTCCCTCTCAGTAGCTTGTCAACTTGGGTCCACCAACATTCAATGACCGCGACAAGCGGGAGAAGCACGATTGAAAACCACAACCTCAAAGCATCCCGAAAGGTACACTCTCTGAACTAATCATAGAAGTGGAGTTCAGCACCAGTTGTGTTCCTTGGATGTCATGGTCAACTCGGAATCCAAGGGGTCATCCATGATTTCAGATTTTAGGGACTGTATGGTTTGCCCAACGGGTGACCAACTCATCACCCGTTTCGAGTCGTTGTTTCTAATTATTCCGCCTCTTCCGGGAAGCCTCGATGGCCACCAGTGCTTGGAATTTAGTGCGACCGGATGGGCGGGGAGGGTGGCGTTCGAAGGGAGAAGGGAGGGAAGAGGACAGCTCTCACAATGGTTTCAACCGATTCACAAAAAAACTCAGATGACCCATGCTGTATAATTAGTTGGGAAGGACTGGTTCCAAAGATGCAAAGTAAAGACCTGAGTTTTTTGTATCTTTGGTATAGTGGCCAATGGCATCCGCTGGGGCACTGGGATTGACAAACGTTACTTAATGTATATAACTTATATAACTGCGTTTTGCTCTATGTGAAGCCCAAATCCAGTGTTTTATTTGTTTGGCGCAAATCAGCGTTCAGCCATGTCAGCCAGTTCAAAGACCTCAAGCAGGAATCCCGAAGTCCCAACATATAAATCACTGGTTCTTCAAGAAAGACACCTGTTTGTTTGATTTCTTTGTGGATCTTTGTCCCACGTCCGCGTCACCCTTTCAAAGGCAAACACGGAGACTGAATGAGCTAGTGTTGACTTTCCCTTTTGGGTTTGGTTACGGAGAGTCTCCTCACTTTATGTAAGATGATAAGGCTTTTTGGGGGCGGCTTTTCACTGAACTCTGGCAGCAGACTTTGCCCCAGCATGACCCTGGGTCCACGTCCTTGTGTTTGGCGACCCACTGCTTGCGGAAGGTCTGCATGGATACGTCGTCCCAATTCTTGGGCTATTCACACGACCTGCTGCTCGACCACTCGCACGCACAGTATGGGGGGGGCAAACGTGACCCGTGACTGCGAGTGTACGTGACCCGTGAGACCGAGCGTGCGGTGTGTGTCCGGTGAAATCTTTCAACCGACTCCCACTCCCCAAAGGATTATTTTTTTGTTTCGTTCTGATATGTTCTGATTTCTTTTGTTTTCTTGCATCCCGTGGCCTGCCTCCTTGCCTACTTCATTAAGCAAGGGAGTAAGCTCCTAGGTATGCCAGCGCTCCTAGCTACTGGACGCAGGAGAGCTCAGGAAACCTAGATTCTTAGACGATGGGAACCAAGGTCAGCACTCTTGGTGTTTGCCCCAGATTGGATTCTCTTCAGCAGGAGATACCGAAAGCAGAAACAGAACCAAGAGATTTGGCTGCCTCTATGGAAGCACAGATCGTGCAAGGGCATTCTCATTTCGTGGCTTTGATTCCTCTCCCAGGGTTTTTGCAGGCCTAAGTTAAAGGTTGACGTGCACACCCAGTCAATCGCTCTGTGATAGAACTGAATTGCTGGTTCTTCGAACACCGATTAATATGCAATCCTAGCCGAGCCCCAGACCTGACCACCTAAGTTGGAATTCAGTGACACCTCCCTTGGAGAGGCATACTCAGTGGTTTCCTGTGGTTCGGACTCAGTCAGCGAACATACCAGACTCATCCAGAAACAATTGCAAGCAAAAGGTTCACAGGTTCAGACGGGAACAGGAAGATACTCAGGTCCGACAAGCAACGCCTGGCTATGAAGGAAGCTCGAATTCATTGTGGACAGGCTTGACTAGGCCTAGGCCGCGTGGTTCTTTCCGTCAGGGATCGTCCGTGCATGTCCGCGCTGATTTGGGTGTTTCAACACCAAAAAGGCGGCCTTGTTAGAAGAGGTTGAACCAACAGTTCTACAGTTCTATCTCCCGTCATATGGACAGGAACCGATTCCGAACGGTGGTGGGAAGTCCATGCCGACAAACGATGTCTTCTATTGCCATCGATCGACGAACAGATCGATACCTCGCTACTGGCTTTTCGGTCCCAAGCGGGCTGAACTTTCGGTTTGCTAAGTCAAGATTAGCGCTCAAGTTGCGCCAAAGCAGATCTTCTTGGGAGATGATACGGTCTGTTTCTGTGCCAGGAGTGTACAATTACGTTAGATTTTTTGGGGGGGAGCCATGAAACCATGACCTACAAAGGCAGCTGAGTCGTGGTTTTAAAAGACCATGCTGAAATGAGGGTGGAGCCATGGCTTTCAGATGCTTTCAGAGAGCCATGGACGATTGGAACATTTGGAACCCCATCCATGGCTCCACTGAGGATGCCTACATTTGGCTGGATTGGTTCAGCATTCCACAGGCGCTCCGGAGCCGAGAGGACCAGGGTGTCCGCCCGCCACTGCCCACGGCCAGGGCGGTCTGGAGGCCACAGATATCTACCTCAATTTGCTTGGCTTGGTCTATGGTTCATACGGTTCCTTCTACAGGTTCGATCTGGTTTGTCTCCCGCCCGCATGCATCAAGGTGGAGGATGGGGGTCATGTACTGACAACTGGAAATATCGTAAGTTCGGACGAATGGTGTTTCTTTGATAGTGATTACTAGTTACTGAACAGAAGACGGTACAACACTCCAGTGCGGTGGTATAATTAGATTGAATTTTCATCCACAAAGCTTTCATGTCATGTTTCCACAATAGAATGACAATGTGGAAGGAAGCCAAACAACATTGAAGGCCTCAAGCCCCCGGTCCAAGCTGTTCAACAAATGGAAACTATAAAGTGTTCCCCAAATAGATAGAAACGGTTCCAATGCATTTTTAGTGGGGATCTCCTTTTCTATCTATTGGGGGGTCTATATACAATGAGTACCTCAAACAAGCCACTGCCCAACATTTATACAACTCCTGTGAGTGTTTGGTACTGATTTCAAGGTACCCTGGTGTTTGATGACTGTTACGATGATACAATGATACTTCTGAGGTCCCTTCTTGGAGCAGGAGTCCTGAAGACTTGAATCGACAGACTAAATCTGCACTGCCCAAGTCTTGCCAGCCAAAAGATCCGCATCTGAACCACAGCGTCCCAGGTTGAACTTCTCTCGGGAAACCAACCTTCCACCGGATCTGAAAGAAATACACTGTGTGTTTTTTGTGTCAGAAATGGATGGAGAATCTCAAAGCATGTGGATCAACGCTAGCTCCAGTACCCGCCCGAATGGGTTTGAGCCAGCGCGAAAGTGCAACAAGCAGACAATATATTGCAATCATGTATCCACCAGTCCAGTTTGAGAAAACATCACTTCTTGACGCTTCTCTAAATTTCTCTAACAGGTTTTCACTGCTTGTTCTCGTGTCATTTTCAGACCCACAATCCTTTGTGTCCAGTGTTATGTGACTGGTCCTAGTAACCCAGATCGTGCCATGCCAGGTGCCAGAAGAGTTAAGCGATGCATCATTATCATCCTCGCCCTTTGCCACTTGGTTTTGGTCTTCGGCATTGGATCTCCAACATTCAAGCGCTTTTCCACTGTGGTTTTGTTTGTTGATCCTAAGGTAGCATGGGATGGTGTGGGTCCACTCCAGCACGGTCTCGGTTGGATGTGGTGGACCTTCTCGGTTGTCCATTCTGATTAACTAAGAATCACTTTGGGTCAACTAGAGTTCCGGTTTTGACCCGCACTTCGTTGCTCTGAGCCCAGCACTGCCGGCCGATTCGACCACCTCACGTGGACTCCCAAGGTGTCACCCACTTCCTCGCTGCTGTCGCACATGTCCATGTCAGCCACTCCATCCACACAGGAGCGACGCGCGTCTCTCGCGCACGACGAATCCAGGGTGTTTTTGCTCTGCAGATCAGTAGGAGAGCAGGGTCGATCGCAGCTCGCCACGTCGAATTGTCCGAACAACCCTGCTCTCCACGAACGATCGAAGGGGGTACGAACGAACGAACAAAGTGTTCAGCAGTTCAGCCCATGCAAGACGTAGAAGATGTTTGTTTGTGTTTGGTCTTGGATTCGACCTGAGAGGCCGGCAGGACCGGAAGGCATTCAGGTGCATGCACCGGCGAGGATCTGAACGGAAAACGATGAAGAACGCAAACGCCTTAAGTCTGATATATCAATTGTGCCTTTAATTGTGGCGTTGGGATGTTCTGATATCTAGTTTTATTCGTGGGTGTCTTCCAAAGAGGAACTGGGTGTCAGAATAGCAAGGTACCAGAATAGATGTTCTGATATTTTGTGCTTTTGAGTCAGAGTGAAGTACACACCAAAGAGCTTTATTGGACTGGCCAGACCGAGCTTGGAGCTTCAAGCATTCTCGACTCTTTCAGGGTTGGGACATCCATCATAAGCAAAACAACAGGTAAAGGAAAACACACTGGGGCCTACAACAAGTGTCCATCGAATTGTCTAGAATTGTCCATACACTTGTCGTTTGCTGGGTGCCTCGGCGTCTCTTGGTTCGGGCCCAGAAATTCTGAGGGGGAAGACAGGTATTCATGTGAAATCATGTTCAATCAGCCTCCAAAACAGGATTCTTGGCCGCTCCAGTGTATTGCTCCAGTGACCGTATGTACAGTACACTAGCCTTGGCTCGTCTCGTGTTTGATGTGTTTGATGCTCGTTGGCTCGCGTTGGTGCTGTCATCTTTCAGTCATGACATCGGATGGCAGATGCGATGTGATCGTGGGTTCCGTCTGTCGCACGGTTCCTGAAAATCTCAAGAGTCCTATGGTGAAAAACTGGAAAGACCACGAAAGCCTTCCATGAGATTACTTTGGAACTCCATGGTTTTCTCTACTATCACATCATTTTTTTCTGAAGATACCAGAGGTTCCAAACTCTTGGTTCCCTGCACGGTCCAGGAAAGGCAGACATGGTGAAACAGGCGAAACCCTGTGAACACGAGCCCGTTTGGGCAACGAGTCTTGTGGTCCAGGAGGTGCAGATTGTTTGCATCCCCAACTTCATCCAGAAGCTTGGACGGTTTGTGCTGAGGGAAGTGCTGAAGAAGACCTTTGAGGGATGAAAAACAAAACGAATCAAGAAAAGGCTCCGTCACATGAGTCACATGTCCCTCTCTGTCATGAGGAGCACGTGTTAAGTTGATGATGGAACTCATTTGAAACTCGATTCTGTTTCGGAATGCCCATTTGTGTGCCCTATATAGTTGTTAAGATCCCACATGACACCCGGAGTAAACAAATGGTCCAAGCTGGACGGGTTATTTAAAGACTGAAAGTTGGTCAGTCGCATGCCCCAGTCTGGATGGCTCGAGCTCGGGTCACAAATCAAAGAAGATACCTTGAGTGGTTGAAGTGTCACACACTACCATTGGCCACCTTAGTCGACTGCAAGTGGGGTGATATTCAAAAGAACGAAATACACGCACCCCAAGGGCACAGGACAGCAGCTGGACGGACAGCAGGCTGTGTCGTTGGTATTCACAGCCTCACAGCAGGGATCTTCATCTGCCCTTCGGGGACCCGTCGGGCTGGACCCGTCGGGTCAAATGGCATTCCGAGGAGGTGTGAAATCTTTGTGGTGCTGGTGCCCCCATGGCAACATGCGGACACAGGTAGGGCCCAGGAGTCGTGGGGGCATTTGGCATGTCCTTGTTACTACTAGTAACAAGTGCCACGCTAGTAGTAACAAGTGCCTTACTACTAGTAACAAAAAGCTATTAGTTTAATTTAAAATTACAATTAAGTCTAATAGCTTCTTGTTACTACTAGTAAGGCACTTGTTACTAGTAGCGATGCACTTGTTACTAGTAGCTTCTTGTTACTGTCGTTTTTCCTTGTTCGCTGTGATTGATGGATTCCAGGCGCATCGTTCCTGTGGCTCTTTCTTTTCGTCGGGCCGAATTCTTGCTCTCGTCGTTGAACTCGGCGTGGGGCGTTCTTGCTGTCGGGTGACGACAACTTGCAGCGTCGGACGACGTGGTGTCACCCATGTTGGTCAAGACCAACATTCAGCTTGAGTCCGGCCGGCATAGTTCCCTGCCCCCCGTAATCTCTCCCTTCACTTCCAATACAATGACATGGTCACTCAAGTGAGAGCAATGAAATAACATAATGTAGTGATAATTACTATACCGGCCTTGCAACCCGTATACCAGGCTCTACTCTCACAAGATTCAAACAGATCAAATGTAACAAAACCATGTGGTATCATGTGGTGATTTAGAGTGCCAACACTAACAGCTTCCAGGTTACCATCCACGGCAATTTCAAAGACTACTATATTAACTGTCAGGGCAGAAGAAGAATAAGTTAGCCATGATAAAATATGATATACCATGCATGGATTCCCGACCACCTTTGGCAGTGTTCGTTGGTCTAGAGTCTAGAGTACTTGAGGAGGATCAGATGCCTCGAGAGACGAGGACGAAGAGGACGAAGACATGGTGGATGTGACACGAAAAGAAACCTGACACCGCACAGGAAGTGAGTATAGAAAAGAAGCAAATAATCATCACTGAATGAACACGAAATGAACACCAAATACAGTTGTTTGTTTCAATGGATGTTCTCAAATATGTTCTTGATAGACTAGCCAGTTCACTCCACAAAAAAACCCTTCTCCCGCCAGAAAAAACACACCACACCACGGGTAGTTCGCCAGTTCCACATGCCACGGCAGGTGCCATTTGCAATTACTACAGCTGGTTGGCGCGTGGTTGGTGCCGGGCAGAAGTCTGGTGCCGGATGCTCTCGGCTGCTTGGTCGACGCTGCGGTCTGCGGTGGGACGACTCGTCGGGGGAGGGCCATGAGCCGGCGGCCCGTTGGCTTCAACGGATGAACCACTTCTAAAGCATGCGGATCAAGCCAAACCCTGGAGCGAAAACTGGAGCGAAACTGATGGCAATCGTTGCTCCCGTGTTCACGGGGATTACTACCACTGCAAGGAATCTTGGGACGGAAACCGCAAACCTGTGAAGAAGACAGGTGGGATTGACCACATAAACAACCGTCAAGCCTTTCAACGCTATTGGGTTTCTGGGTTTCAAGGAGAATAGCCGTTCAGTGTAATTATTCCTTTTGACTAGGTATGTCTCAACATGCAATGGCCCAATGTTCCAAGGAGTTTGGTTTGGTTGATCAAGCTGAGCCTGCCTCTAGCTTGAGCGCCCACAGGACCAACCAAACAGAATGTAATCTTCATGCAGTTTACAAAGTCAGTCAAGCTTTTACTGCAGCTTAGTTAGAATGTACATGTAAAAGTTTCAAACACATTTAGCTGTACATGATGATTTTGAAACATTAAACACTTTTCACATTTCACCCTCCTGATGTTGTCTCAGATTGAAACCACAAGCTACCATAAAGTGATTTTGGTCCATCCCACATGGGAGCAACTGGTCCCTTACTCACACAATGTCGCACCTAAAGGCATCAACCCACCAGTGTTGATGACGAGGCTGTCCAGTGGTTCTGTCCCTTCTGTCAGCCACCCCCCCGCAGACCTTCAATCAGCCTATGATGGTGATCTCAGCCACTTGGTGGACAGGTTGGGAGGGCGCGCCCCGGCACTTGCGCCGTCGCCCACAGCAGTCTCGCGAGGAAAAAGCGCAAGTGCCGGAAGTGCTCCAGTTGAGGAAAAAGCCTCTTAGAGGTGAGACATCCGATCTCGATGTTCTTTTAGTAGAACTCTCACCAACAAAACCTTAAAGCCGATGGTTCTTGGTTAGCTTCGGACGTTTCAGTTGGTTGGCGGGTAAGAAATCATGCTGGCAACGTCATCGATGGATCCAAAGACTAGGTGCACATTTTGCCAGAAGCTTGTCGCCAATCTCATTGCAGAACATATCATTCATCCGCATCACCTGGTACGTCGGCCCGAACCCCATTAGGGTCAGTCTATTCGGGTGCTCAGCTGGCACATGGTGCCATGCAGCTCTACCCTTGAAGTCAACGACTGGTATGTTGGTTGTCATGCAGCCTGGTCTTTTGCAGGTGTCCGAACCCTGTCTTCCCAGCCAAAATTCTTCCATCTGACCCCCCCAATAGTAATCGTCCCATTACATGTCCTAACATGATTCGATGTTGCCCGGTGTCGTTGCCGAGGCCAGCGACCAAGCCGAGTTCGCGACCCCGCTGAACTGGGTCGACGCCCTGCCATTGGAGGGCGACTTCACCGTCGCCGGGGACCGCGCCTCGTTGAAAGCGGCGGAGAAGCTGGGCATGGAGAGGTGTGGAGGTCAGGGAGAGCGAAGGTGGTCAACATTGGGGGGTGAACATTTGATCATATTTGATCAATATTTACATTTACATACATTTACATTCAACAAGGTCGAAGTGTTCTAATATAGGAAGACCCCACTAATCCCTTCCACCCATTAAAAAACACGAGGCCCCCCCTAATAAGGAAACCTCGGTCGCATTTTTTCTAATAGGGGGTCCCTGAAATCGGGGGGTCCAAAATAGGGTCACCTGGAAAGAGTTTCAACACCAAAAAGTAATCCAGGAACAGTTTATATAAACTCCTTTATTAAACTCGTATCAAAAATGCAAAAAACTTCCAGATCGAAGGGTCTTCCTTTTCCCCTACAAAACCTTCATTAGAATAGTGATTCTTCAGTAGACTAACGGCTAAAGCTTTCGAAAGGTGATGTCGCTGTGCCATGCGGTGTTGCATGACCTCAGTGGCAAGTGCGTTTGCGTGAGCCCGTGCCATTGGGGGAAGGAAAGCCTGCTGGTGAAAGCGCGGCGTGTCATGGTGGATAGACAGGGCGGACAGAGGTGGGCAGTTACGGTTGTTTTTGGAACCTAATAAGAAAAACCCCTCCAAAATCGGCCATGTTCGTAGTTTAGTAGCGGCTTGAAAGGGCGGTAATTTAAACACCAATATACGCCGTATTTAGGGGGATCCGACATGAGTTTTTTAAATTAGGGTCCGTTTTTAAATGGGTACCCGGGATTAGCTTTCATGGCTTGGTGGTGCTGTTGATCACCTGGTTTGGACTCCAATGGGATCGACAAGGGATGGACCCACATTTTTGAGCTTTCATCCCAACCTTTTGAAGATGTATGGGCCTGGGGCCCGGTATCTCGAGGACCAAAGAATGTTATGTATATAAGATCCTTTTAACTTGTCCCTTTTATGCCATTAGAAGACACACACAACAATGATCAGAGAAAAAACTGACCTGGCAAGAGATGACCTGGCAAGTGCTGCTGAGGTCAGAATATCCGGCATATGTTGAAGTCGTTGCTCCCCGGCGAGAACTTCCATCGACCGCAAGGGATTATTTATGAGCCAGCGACCGCTTGTGGGAAGTCATCAGGAATATCATTTTGTGTGAGGTATGGTGGGATCGTTGATTTGAGCCAGTGGGGTGGTATTTGTAATTTGTAGCTGCTGTGAGGGCTGGTAAGTAGCTTGGATTTGTGGACAGGCAAGGAAGCATAGAAACACAAATAGAAACTTCTAAAGATTCCTATCTTGCAGCGACATGGCCCCAACCAACAAAGCTGGCTATCCATGGCTGTTGAGAGCAGAGGGAAGTCGTTGAACATGTGAGTTCTTTGAGTTCAGAGTGGATCCTTCCAAAGGCTTTTGCTGATAAGGTTCTTTGATGTTCTTTGATCTATATATAGATTGTTAGTGCAAGTGCAAGCTGATCAATGGACGCCAATGTAGCTGTAATGGTGGAGTCTGAGAACGGAATGGTTAGCTCACAGTCAGACTTCAGCACGATATAATTCTGTCTCACCAAGGTGTTTTCCGTGTTGTTTTCACAGAGCCAAAATTTCTCAGAAGGCCCTGAAATGTAGATGTCCGGTCTTACAGGGTCTCGCTTTGCTTCATCCCTTGAAGTTGAATGTAAGGTTGTGTTTGTTTATCCCTTCACAGTCGCCAAAAAAGATTCTATCAAATCATATATCATATCTATCATATATTCTAACAACATTGACAGCCGTGGCTGCTGGAAGCAGAAAGCCAGGATAAGCCAAGGAAATCAATGAGTTGCAACCCCAAACCCATTCGAGTTGCGCCCCGTCTAAGACCAAACCATGTGGTTGGCAAGTTCAGTTTCCTTTGTGCGTCACCGGTCACGAGGTGATTCTTTTGATCGAGCGTCCGGTCGCCAGGCTCGATCAAAAGCTCGGGTGCTTGCTGAAACAGAGCAGCTGGGTCCCTTGGTGGATTTTCTTGTGGAAATGGAGGTCCACTCAGTGGAAACAGAGGCAAGTTGCGGGAGTTCCTTGGAACAGCTGTGAGCTCAAAAGATCCTCAAAAGTACACCTGCAGAAGAACATGCCTTTTTCAGTGGTCCAAATGGCTATGACAGCTTTTGTGCTGAGCCGGTGTGGGTTTGTCACACTGAGCCACTGGTGTGGGTCAGGTTTTGTAGGTGTTTGACTTGCAGTTCGATGCCCAGGACTATTTGCGCTTCTTTACTGCCCGCCGTGACATCCTATTGGGACGTCATCATCAGTGTGCCAAGTCCATGGAAGCCTTCCTGGCTGCTTGGATTGGAAACGATCCATGAACCATGTCCCCAAAGGTCATCTCCCCTCCGGCACGGAGGGTTGGGATATTGGAAGGAGGTCGCCACCCAAATGCGCCCTGAAACGCTCATGTTCCCCAACTTGCGGTAATCCTTCAAAACTTGGGCTCGAGGAAGGTTTGGGTTGTAGGTTGAAGCAGCCAAACCATGGCTGTTTTCTCGCTGTGATGCTTCGGCCGACCCTGAGGGGTCGGCAAAACATCACGTGCTTCTCGCTCATCTCCACCAGAACGTTGGACATCCGCGAGCGAGAACTCCAGTGCTTCGCCCCAGCCATGTTTGGGACACGACGTGAGGGGAGGTGATCAACAACTAATAACTGTTGACAAGTCGATAAACAGAACGCTGCAGCACCCAACACGCATCAAGGATATCACGCTCCGTCTAGCAGCTCGCTCATGCTCCGTCTATCTATCCTATATGTTTTCCAATCGAAGTTCTCCATCCACCAGACAGCGCCAAGTCAGTCCCCTTTCCGATTTGACCCCACAACCAGTGAAGGGAATTGCCTCTCCGGACCGAACATGGGGACTCCCCAGCGAACGCGACGCGGAAACAGCCGTTTCAGCGCCAGCGCCGCTGGCCTTCGCCGAGCGCCGCGAAGGAACAGTTTCATTTCACGTCCCTCAAAGAGGCGAAGGGCACTTCGGGTATGGGCCCAGTGGCCTGGAAGCAACTGAAACGCGACACCGCGACATGTGGTGGGTGTCCGTTTTGCGGTGGCGATGTGGCGTCAAAGTGTTGGACTTGGAGCATTTAACCAGAGAGTATAGCTTTAGAGCAGTGTCACAAAAAGATGCCTGTGGACCCCCACCATCACAGGTGACAAGCAACCTCTTTGTTTCGATGTTGCCGACGTCAAAACTCCATTGCTTCGTTGGCATCGTTTAGACGGAAGAACTTCATTACTAGCCAAGTTAAGCTTGGCATCGTCAGAGTTTCGAAACTGCAGAATTGTATGTGAAATCCCAGACCAACACGATCTAAGCCCAAAAACAGTCAATCACCTGCCCGGCTCCAACCACCAGCAAAAGCACCGGCATCCGCCCCAGGTCGCCTGTGCTGTGCTCTCCGGGAACTTAGAGATCTTGGAGATGCTGCGGGTCGAAGGTTTGGATCTCAACGGTCCCTTGGACCGACGTGGGATGACCGTGGCACCGATTGCCGCCGGTTGCCGAACCGTTCGGTGGTGCGTTCGGTGGTGCGTCCGGCTTCGGGGCACCCCGCGGGCGGTGGGTTCGGCGGTGCGAAGAAGGCGGAGAGCAGAGGCGCCCCGTGGTGAGGCTGTGATTTTGAAGTGTTTGCTGTTTGCTTGAGATCCCTCATCATGAAATCTGATGAAATCTCCATAATCTCCATATCAAATTGACAAAGGCAAACTAGCCATGAAAACCGACAAGGGGTGGTCCGTTTGGATCCGGATTTTAGTCATCAACCCATCAACAGAAACTGAAGGGCAAGACTTGTTGCTCCTTCTCAAAGGTACTGGACACCCCGAAAAGCAGCTTTGATCGTAGCTTCACATACTGCTTAAAAGCACCCCTGCACTCTTCGGGTACAAGTATTCTGACCAAAGTTTCGTTGGCTGAAGCCTGACAATCACGAACCCAATTATTTTACTTTGAAAACTACATGAACGTTTGGTTTGATGGCTGTTGAATATATGTACCCTCCAAAGGTGTGTGTATAATGTATAATATATATGTATAGATATGCAACATGTATGTGTTGGTACAGAACTATAAGAATATTCAATACAGGACCAGGAGTGAAAGTTGAACTTGATCATCCCCGCACTCGCTCTCCCCCATGAAAGGGATTGCAGAATTCTGACGGGGGGAATTTGTGTGTGAAAGGAATCAAACGCATATATATATGTCACACTTTTGTTTGACTGGCTCGCTTTCAGAATTTAATGATGTCTTGTAATGCAGGATGTATGACATAGAATCCCACTGACCAGGTCGAAGACCACGAGTCGGTCCACTTAAAAATCGTGCAGTTCCATCAATGAGGCCCATTGAAGAAGATGCCGGATGTTGGGATATTGGTGCCATGGACGCTTGGAGGGCGCACAAGATTTGAACCTTTGGGCCCAACTGGGCCTAGGTCCCCGTAGGTACACCAATTGTGAGACAGAATGGTGGTCCCCCCCTTTTTCCGAGCGGGGTGCGATCTTCTTGATCGTTTTCATGTGGATCTTCGGACGAAAAGAGCCACGGCAATGGGACCTTCCAGTTCTTGGGCAGTCCCATTTGGCCAAGTAGCCGCTACAAGTGGAACTTGTCAAGGGTGGCATCAAGGGGTCGGATTTCCTTCATGGAAGCTCAGCTGAGGAGTTCGATCTTCTTGGCTGTGAAGTTCCAATGGCGCACTCCAGAGGTCTTCCGCCGAGCTTGACATAGGGAGACTGATGGACAGATGACGATGTTTTTCGACGAAGGCTTTCTTTTGGTGTTTCTGATCGTTTTGCTTTCGGGATTTGCTGCTGAACCGGATCGCTGGTTTGGTGCAGCAACGCAATAAGTGAGTGAGAGAGTTCAGCTGTACAACAGGTTTTAGACAACATCTTGCATGGTCCAAGAACATGTGATAGGGGAATACCTGAAAGGTAGGAATTCCTCACATCTAGACTCTAGACCTTGAAGGTTGTCCGATCTTTTTAACTTGGCAGTCTTGGGATGTCCGATCTTTCAAACGTTGGCGTGATCTTTTTTTCGGACTGGCCGCTTAAAGATGGCCAAGCGGCCAAGCAGACAATGCCACCCAGCCAAGCCAGGTCCTAAGAGCTCTCTTGGGGGCTCGCGCCGATGCCATGACGATTCCCAGCCGCTTGCCATGGCTGGAACACCAATGCCGTGGCACAGAGGATGCTTTTGGGGGTATGGCCCAAAAGCAGAGGAGGTTGGAACTTGAATTTGATGTATCAGATTGCTTGCTCAAACTCGGTTTGACATTTTCTGGACTGTGAGGCCCCAGTACATCGTGCGTGCTTGTTCCAACAGCATTGTAGGGAGAGAATGATTGGCGAGAATTGTCCAGTGACAGATAGAGGCCTGACAATTTCTTGTTTTTTGATTGGACACACCATGTTTTCCTTTGCCTAGATGCACAGCTACATGCCAAGAAATGGTTCAAGGCTTGGGAGTGTGTCCTTTTTTGTTTGCTGATGACTGAGGCCAGCATGCGCTGGGGATGTGCCGCACAGCCGAGGATGTTGAACTCCTCATCGAGCCACCCGCTTGGAGCTGGTTTTGGGCAGCCAAGAGAGTGTAAATTTGGGTCCTTTGGGGTTAACCATAATGTTACTGATTATTTATGATTAAAGGAATCCCCCCCATTCACGTGGAGATTCACGGATCTGGGGGCATTGATGAATCAACAAGAATCAACAGGCAACACATGGCAACATGGTAGGAATCGTTAGTTTTTGTGCTCTAGGTTTCTCTGTGACGATCTTTGGCTCCTAAAAGATGTTGAAGTCCTGGGCGCAAGCTGCTTGCCTGTGGAAGGACTGTAAAGAATTTCCAGGTGAATTCCGACGCAAGTCTCAAGGAACCCTTCAAGCTGGTATGGCTTGGTCAGGGTTTCAGGATTCCGAAGGCAGGGGTGCAGTGGTGGATGGTGGCAATGCTTAGGTGGAAAAAGTTCTTTTTTTTGTGGGATCATGGTGTGGAGTCTGGCAAGCATTGAAAGCCTGAGCAAATCATGTTCATTCTCTATAATGCGAAGCGGCACAGGAGTTGGCACTCGTAGTGATAAAGCTGACAAGGTAGCACGACATGCAAGTGTCCATGAATGTCCTGCACTTGTTTCCAACATATTTGTCTATTGGCCATTGACTTACATCCTGCTTTGCGACCGCGGTCTGAGAGCCCCTCCTCTTCCCGTCGCTTCTTGGATCCGCACGGCTCGAAGGCCACGGCCGCCGTCCGCGCAGTCCGCGCAGTCCGCGCAGTCCGGCGCGAGGTACAAGGCGGAGGTCAACCAGTTGGTACCGCCGTTGAACAACCCCGTCATCGGACAAGCCTGCATGTCGCTCGGTCCAGAAACTCTTTGAGGTGGAATTGGTTCTTTGAATGTGTCCGGGAAAGGAAAGGAAAAGACCTTGGAATTCCGGGCGGGCGCAAGGTTCCACCATGTGAGTACAGGTTTGCATTAACAGACACTTAAATACCAATTAATATTCAGTCACGCATGCAACTATCCTGTATAATCACATGGTTTTTGAGGATCGTTGCACAATGTGGCCCGTGGCCATGTGGGGTCAAGAACCCTGTGCCCCGCCGAAAAAGAACAAAGACAAGCGTTGAGTCCTAGCAATTGTTGAACATTTGCATGCTTGAATGACCTCCTGGGCCCATGAAGGGCCACCTTCGCTCACAACATATCCACTTCTGAAAATCCCACGATGTTCAACTGAGGAACCAAGCAGTTCGATTCTTTTTGGAAGCGATATGGCACAGGGGTTTGGTAGTGGGTTTGGTATACCTACCCACAAACCATCACAAACCTTTTGGAAGGGGTCGGCAATACGTTCTCGACATGAGCGTTTTGTTTCCATGTCGATTCCTTTCATTCATCCCGGTCGGGTCCTGCGCACTGTTGACGCGAGGTCCTGTGCACCAGCAGAGGTGGTGGCAAAGTTGCTGGAATACAAAGCCGAGGCGACCTGGTTCCTGTTGTTGGAGGTTTGAGGTTGTTCTGTCGAACAAATCACGGCTAAGATCACTGGAAGATGTGGAATAGACAGTCCTTGCTTTTGTTCCAAACATGGAGTCTTCAAGGGTCTCTAAACTGAAGCTCAGATATTCTTTGGAGCCATTGCCTTGGCCGCGGCCAGGAGAACAGGGATGTTGTCCACAATTCCGAGCATCGGCGTCATGGGGCAAATATGGAACATTTTGCTGGATCAGAAACCCAACCAGTATCAGTAGCTGGTGTCATTGTTCATGACACCAGCCCTCAGAAAGCTCCGAAGATCTCCAAAGTATCGATGTTGTGTACCACTTCGATCGATTCGTTCAAGCTCCGATTCCGAAATGCGATCCAAGCATCTCAAAGGGCAACCAGTGGTCCCTTTCTGTCTCTAACAAACATGGAAGTGCAGGACACGCCGGTCCTATATTTCCAAGTCATTCCTTTTCAGAAACCGTGTCTTTCCACACGGATTTTCTCAGATCGACCCCAAAAACATGGCCCGCAGGGTTTCCCCGGCTGCTTGACCCAAAGCTCCGCCCGAACGTCGCCCACCGGAACCGAACGAAGCGACCGTCGACAGGTCAATGGTCCCACGTGCGGCGGCAGTGGCTTGGTGCTGACTCCGGTGATGGAAGCACGTCAAACGACGTCAAACGATCTCTTTGGATGTAGTGTCCATGATTCTATCTCAGGGCTTGTAACGGTTTGTCTATAAGAGTAGTACAGGGAGAACACCCCAAAGACATCGTTCTTTTAATCTTGGGGTTTATCACAGTAATTGTATTTTGATGTATTTGGTCATTTGTTTGATGCCCATTGTTCTAGCCTTTAAAGTTTGGCTTCATGTCCTTGGCCTGCTCCTGTTTGACATTCTTTGGTGATTGATGATGATTGTAATTAAGTTGTAACGCAACCGAAGATCAGCCGGATGCATCGCATTACCTCCAAGGCGGTGCATCGCAGCCCTTTGCAAACCTGGCTCTCTACGTGGCTGGGCGAGCTATGGCGAGCTGATTTTGACCATAAATACGGTTGGGGCTGTTCCTCATGCAGACTAGTAACAAGGGCATTAGTACTAGTTACTTGTTGCAAGAAGCTACTCGTAGCAATGCACTTTGTTACTAGTATCTTCTTGTTCCTAGTAGTAATGCCAGGAGCTACTAGTAGCTTCTTTTTACTGCTAAGGCACTGGGTGAGAATCGATGAGAACTCCTGAGATTGAAAGATGAACGGAAGGGGAGAAAACACCCTGTGAGATGATCAGCAGATCTCACCCGTATTCAATTATATTCAATTATTCTTGAGCAAGACCATTTCAAAGGTTGCGTTCCGAGCTAGCTACCATTCCGTATATGACACAATATGATTACATCAGTGATGCTAAATATTGCATGTGTCGATTCTTGTGGTTTCATGCAACAGCTCAAATTGCCAGATTGTCACCAGGTACGTCATCCACCTCTTTCTAAATCCACGTGTTCTGGCCTTGAGGGCTATGACTGCTCTGGATCCCATACCTGCATAAGGCTTGGAGGACCCCCATCAAGTTTGATTTGTCCTGCCTCGAGTTGATGAGGACGCAGGCGCAAAAATCACGCCAAAACTGGATTGTTCATTTTCCTAGACGATCTTAGAAGCTCTGGTCACTAAACTAGGGGTTGAATGTTATGCATCCCACAAAAGACCAGAGGACAACGGCCCACACTCAGTCTCTCCAGCCCCAGACGCATGGTTCCCTAGTTTGCCAGCACGGCCAATAGCTGTTGCTACCAGGTGGACCTCGATGTAATACCGGAACTATAGCGAAAATCGCCGTGCCCATCTCTGATGTTGTTTTGGTTTCTTCTGGAAAACCAGTGAATCGATCACCCATTAGTGTTTGCTGCACATTGTTTTGCAACCTGGTGTGTAGCCCCCCGGTCTTCGCGGCAGGTCCCGTGATGCGAACAACGGAGGTGTCGAGCCAACGCCGTGCCAAGGCCAACGTGAATCCTGCGAGCGAGGCCGTGGCACACTTGCTCATCTCAGCAAGGTGGGTCGAACGACACCGGTGAAGCCACCGGTGTAGAAAAGGGGATCCGATGCTCTGGGAAAAGCTTCGGAAATCGGATGAAATCGGGGTCACACCTTGAACAACTGGTGTTTTTCCCCAAACATATTCAACGTGTTGGGCACAGCCATCCAACTGACAAGTACTTCGGCCAAGAAAAAGGGTGCAGCCCAGCGGTACTTCGGCTGTTTCGGAAGAAACATCAACAACGGAAGCACTTCTTCGTTCGGCTTGGTGGCCGCTGTCCTGCATCAGCGCAGGAGATTTCTAGGTCCCTTCTGTCGTGAATGATGAACAGACCAGTGGCTGGACAGGCCTTGGTTTCAGTCAGGGATCATGACACACGAGAAGAGAAAAACAAGAACTGGGCAAAGGAGGAAATGCGTGTCCAACGTCCCCATCACCAGAACCAGGAGACTTTTCCAAACCAAAAACTTCTGTGAGGAACACCTGTCCTCTGTGGCAGTCGGGGCACGAAACAACATTTGGCTCCAAATGTTTGCTGAGCTGCATAGGCTTTTGCGGCTTTTGGGGGATTCTTAAGGCCCATAGAACTGAGGCAGCAACTGGTGGTTCATTTCATGATCGTTGGTGTGGGGTTGGTTTGGAAAAGACATGGTGCCATCCAGGACAACATGTTTGTTTGTTGGTTGGTTGGTTGGTTAGTTTGTTTGTTTGTAGCATTCCCCAGTAAAACGGCGGTCATGCCTGCCAGGGCAGACTTGAACCAGCAATGCCAAGCCACGGGCATGTGGAAGGCGATGGAATTATCGAGCAGGGCATATTTGCAGGCGTGAGAGCTGAAGTGGGTGAGATTTGTTCTCAAATGGTGGTCCCTTCGTTCTCATACGCATCAACTCACACAAACAATCCACGCCCTCATGTCAGGCATCGCTTAGCTTCATGAAAAGTAGATTGAATCAACAAGATGCCAATCAACAGATGCCAGGTTGTTTGGATGTGTTATGTTCTATTCTTTGGCATTTTTGTTCCTTTTCGGGAATTCTGAAGCCTGGCGCAAGACGTGGCGGCGAACACCAGCGACGTGCTGATCACACTTCCATTCCTTTGATCGCTTCGGCCCATGTGTAGGATGCATATATATATATAGAGAGATACATGTAGATACACTCTCTAAAAGAATCATGGAAGTAGGTGAAGCACCGCATGTTTGTAGACGAACATGGGAAAAACCGAGTCTTCGGGGCCGTTTGCCACCCACGGCGTTGGCCCATGAGGACGTTCCAGGGAGTGTAGGTCTCAAAAAGACCCCACCAATGTACACCTTCGAGCACAAGATCGAGGGTGGGAAAAAGGGGCCAGGGTAGAAACACATGTTTTGAGGGTGAAAAACAAATGTTTCGCCTTTAAACATTTCACACCCTCGATGTGTCAAGAACTTCGATCCGCACCAAGCTTCATTTGATGCCACGACGGTGCCTGAAAGCAGCGCTTTCGGCTCCTCCTGTGTGCGTTCGCCAGTTCGCGCAGAGCAGCTCGCCCTTGGTGCATCTCTTTGCAGAGTGGACCACAACACCCTTAGGCACGGAGGATTCATGAGGATTCCTTTGCGTGTGCGGAGAGATGTCGAGGCCGCTTCATGGAGAAAGTATCCTGGTTAGTAGTGAGGCAAATTGGTTCCCTCAGTGTATGTTCCGCCTTTGGAGAGTTCTGAGCCAACGACGATTGAACCATTAAAAGCATCAATTATGAGATCTTTCAGACTGGATGATTCATCGTATACTGAACACATGTGTCTCATGGATCTGTCATTGTCTCATGGATCTGCGGGCTTTCACCCGTTCAGCACAGATGCGGAATCCACACCAGCCCACTGTTTGGCTGTTTGGTCTCCATTCTTCCCACCCACCCGGTATGCCGCAGAGTACCTTCCGCGACGCAAGAAAGCATATCCGTTTGGAGGCTTCGCGTGCTTCTTTGGGCGACCGGCCCTGGTGCAGCTCTTATTGGTTGCTTGGCGCAAAAAGACACAAAACAGATCAAAACATTATCTAACTGAGGAGTTTGGATGAGATTTGTGGGTTGGATGGGCGTTCGAGTTTGCTGGTCGAAGTGATATTCACAGTTGGACCACTCGAAAGCGCCTGTATCCCAATAATGCGTTGATGTGATCGATATGATGTTCCGGTTGCTTGACAAATGGGTATAGTCTATATAGTAGTGTCGCGTGGTCATGTACCGTGTGATTGACGTACCTAGGTACAAGAAGAATCCAAAGAACCGTACAGAGGGCTCCAACTAGCATGGCCAGACTTTGTACCTCTACAATCTTCTAGTTCAATCGAAGTCTTCGTGGATCGACTCCAGTGTTTCACCCTGTTTCAGTTTCACCAGGACAGTTGCTGTGGGGTTGTGCTGAACGAACTGGTGCTGAGTGGTTTCCAGTTGATCAAGTAGCAATGCAGCAAACTGCATCGGAGACACACACACAATATCACACACGCACACATCTGTCGTTTGAAGTTGCAATATGCACAGAGATGTACTGATTCCTTCATTGCACACCCGGGATTCCGGCAGACACCGCCCGCGAACGCGTCCCGCGAACGCGAACCCGCGTGCGCGAACAGCGTCCGTCCAGCGAGGACTCGAAGTCGGATCCGGAGATCCGAAACGCCCGCGGGAAGCAGCCCTTTGACCTCACGGAGTACGAGGCGCGCCACCCGCAGCCGAGCGCGTCGGACCCGCGCACGATTGGTGCGAGCGCGGAGTGCGAGTACGCAGCCTGCGTCGGTTGACGGTAGCTGTAGACTGATGTCATGTGGCCGCACGGTTGGACGAAGAAAGTGGAGACCATGTAAAAGAGTGTGACACGGTGTTTGGTTGTTTTCAGCCGGTGGTGGTGGCCAAGGAATGAAGCAAGAAGAGGCTTGGCAAGGGTCTGAAAGGCAGCCCATCGCCAAGCAATAGAAAACCGCTAAGGGGAAAGACATGAATATTCCGATCCCCCATGAACTATTGACCGGGGGGAAGAAATTGGGGAACCAACAATGCATGGAACAAATTCAGAACCCATCCGGATCAACGGATCCTGCAGGATGTTCTTTGGATCGCCCTGAAGGCCAACGCCTCTTGGCCTCCCAGCGTCCGCATGCGTCCGCATGCGTCCGCCGCGTCCGCCGCATCGGAGCTGCGGCTGAGATAGAATCTGTGGTGCCAGGTGCTTTTTGGTGGGAGGTGCCGGACCTTAACATGTTTTTCATTGGAATATTTTGTGTGTGTGTGTGTTTTTGGTGAGCATGTCCCATGTTCAATTTACAAGTTTGAGGGTCCAGCTTCAGTCCTTCAATGCCCTTTTAGGGCACTGCAGCAGCTTCAGGATCACCCTGTGGCAGTTGATAGACCACCAGTGGTGTCCCTGAAAGAAGTGAATTCACCATAATTCACCCAAATTCATCTCACCAATCACAGGACGCAATTTGTGGGTCGTTTGCTGGATGGGTTGCATCAGGCCCGTAGGCCCTAGGCACCAGTTTGTAGCAGGCTGTACAGAAGTATCCTGGTGTATGTTCTTTGTTCCATGGCCTATTTTTCCTCATCGTTGTATCACTGGAACCAATGAGGTGCTATGAGGTACTGCTGAAATCATAGAAGTCTAGGGCACCAATTGGTGGGAGACATCAGGTTTGGGGCGCGCACGATCATGACGTGTGAATACATTTGAAGCATTGCAAATTATCAAGCTTTATTACGTACGTATGTCGTTCATGTTTAATTTAACGACATGTTCCCTGTATAGTGTATGTTGTTTTCGATCTGCTGAATCAACTTGTGTTTTGTTTGCCCTCGGATCTGAGGTCCGCTCAGTGGTCTTGTCGAAGAATTCGGTGATGATTTGAAGGACCACCTTCGCCGGCCGCGGATCGGATCACAGCGGATCCGAGAGAAGATCCGGACCAGTCTGTTCGGCACGTTTGGTCGAAGTTCCGAAGGCAGTTCGAGACCTGAAGAGTTTTTTTAAGGGTCTTGATCTCATTGGAACTATAAGTGCATTTCAAGAGATGCTGCGGCATCAGTTTCAAAGCTGGAGTCTTGTCACTTGAAGGATGGACTTCAGGGCTTCATGTTTCAAGACGAGTGGACTGTGGTTCAAATAGACCAGTTCCATCCGAGAGGCTTTCCGGTTCCATCGAGAAGCGTGGGTGAAAACCTAACAGCCAATCCAGTGACCCACATCCTATCATTGCGGAGAGCCTTCTTGGTGTCCACTCATGTCACCAGCTAGCGGTGGAGGCCGCCTCGACAGCTGGGGGTTAGTTTTTTGACACGAAAACCAAGAGAGCGTTGAATGAACGAAGGGGTTCACCAAGGGTCTTTGGAAAGACTTGTGGGCTTGTGGAGTTGGAGTTGGAGATGGAGAATGATCAGATGCGCCTAGTGGTTTGTGTTTGTGATTGATAAGCTTGATTTGTGTTTTGCTTGTGCTCGACAAACAACATCTACTCAAACGAATAACAACAGTGTGATGATTTGTGAGGTTCCCGTAAGGTTTCAGGGTCGGCGGGTGTCCGATGGTGGTTGAGGAATGTTGGTGTGAATATGAAGTAAATAGTGAAGCAAATTGATATCGATATAATTCGATATATGTGGAAATTATATACTCGTCCACTCAGACTCAGTGACTCGTGGATGGAATCGAGGGAAATACGATCGGAGTCTCCTTTGTGCCCAAAGCAACATGTCATGCACCAGGAAGCATGGGCTTTCAGATTGTCCCAAAGCTGCAGGATCTGTCCTAAAGGGACGTTTCAGTGGCAGAGGCTGGAAAGGTAGCCTGTCTACACGATATATTTATACATTACCAAGTCACAGCAAGTCCGCGTATCTAATATGGGTGTGTTTGGGGTCTTCCGGAAGGGTCCTTGCCACATGTCAGGCTGGGGAAGGATTTATTTCGAGTTCGTTGCTAGATCCTCAAGTCTGTTTGGGGCGTCACTTGACGCAGCTGGCGACTGCTTAGAGAATCCAATCTGAAGATGCACTTCCGAATGGAAGGAGCGGGTTGGAGCCTCCTTTGCATGTTTTTTTTGTTACTGCAACCCAAAGCAGACATTTGTCTGTGCGCCTAATGCACATACAGTGGGTTTGAGCGTTTTGAGCGCCTGAAATCTCTGGTTTTTGAGCCAAAACCTTTTATTTAGATTGCCCGGTGGTCAATCTGCAAGGCTGGGTGAGAATTTTTTTCTGTCGCAGATCAACTTGTTTTCCGTCGCAGGTGGTTCAAAAGGGTCCAACAGTATTGGATTGGCAGAGGCCACACAACATGAAGGTTAATTTTTCATCGTTTTCAAGCGCCAACTGGTTCACTTTTGGAACTGGTTCACTTCCAAAAGTGGTTACTGCACCCTTTATTCAGGTTGCCACTTTTGGATACTTTTGGATCATCGTTTTCAAGCAACAAGTGCACTACACGGCCGCCTGCAGACGCCCTTGTCGTCGTCAACAGCGACCACCTTCTATCGAGCACGGATGAAGACTGCTGAGTTTGCGGTCTTGGAACCTTGCCCTGCCGGCTTGTGCACCAAACACGCAGGACGATGGCAAGGTTGTGAGGCAAAGAGGAGTGCCTAGGTCCTAGGCCTGCCTCTTTGGATTTCCCCTGTTATTTGGTTCATAGTCTTGGACTATAAACCCTGCTTACTTTTTGCCCTGCTTGGTGGACGAAGGCCTAAAGGCAACTCACCAAGTAGGGAAAAACAAACTTTGGCGATGGACGCGCCAATGGGATGTCAAGGCATTTCATGGCATTTCACTCTGAGGAAAAAAATCATGATCGCAGAAGTCAAAGCCACCTACGCCAAACAACCTTCTAAAAACACAATGAAGATGCATGAACTGCAGCCCTCTTTTTAGGCGGTGCGTTGTTTCGTGCGTTCGCGCGTTGGATCATTGACTCGTTAAAGGGTTGAACAAGAGGTTATAAACCAGGATTCCTGTAGGTCATACAGATTGGCAAGCCAGATTGGACTAGCAGGATGTGACTTTAGAAGACGATCGTGCTACTCGTGCACCGAAACTATGCACTAGGCTGCCATCTACAAGCCACTTTCTAATTTATGGCCAATTTATGGCACCCCGACCTGAATTCAAAAAGTTACCTGTAGATCTTAACATCTACATTCTTGGTGCTATTGCTGTTGAAAATGATGGCGAACTCATAACACACATTGGCCGTTGGAATGCTTTTCGGAGGAGTCAAGTCTCCTCAGGCATCCCCTGAGTGCTGCAGCTTCAGCTGAACAGAAGAGGTCCATGCAATGCTAGGAATCCAAGATGGGTCTCTCAAAATGACTGTTTCCTTGCAACTGCCTGTAGACCAGAGCTTGAAACTGGCGTGATGATGCTGGTGCTGCGGTTGTGTTTTCAAGCTGAAGGTTTTTTTAACTTCAGAAACACTGACTTCTCAGTGGTGGACGCCAGGAATCCCAGACAATTCTGCACAGCTCAAGAGGGGATGATGGATCAGTTATTTATTTTTTTGCGATCCTTATGGACCGACATTGGATCGACTAATGTGGACTCTTGAAGTTTGATTGATCACAAGTCTTCCACACCGGGATTCCTTGATTCCTTCCTTTTTTTTTGAAGGTCCAGATAGCCCTTCGCCAAGCCAATACCCCGGCCTTGGCCCAGGCAATCTGTGGAGAAGAAAAGAGAGAGAGAGAGAGAGAGCGAGAGAGAGCGCGCTGTGCTGCGTGGCATGGGCCATCCAATTTCGATGTCAGGTCAGTGATCCAGGTGTCAGGGACATGACAATCGGGCGTGACACTCGTAGAATGCCAGCAATGCCAGCAATTATATAGATAGCAATTACGCAATAGCAATTAGTTGTTTATGTCCCTCATAGAAGAACATGTGGTGGACATCCTGGAACTGTTTTTTTCCAATTCGTATTGATGATATTGATGTGACTCTCATGATCGGCTCGTTGGGTTTGCCAGATAAGCTTTCCTTCAGTGCTCTTGAGACCCATAAGGATACTGGAGAGAACCATCTCCATGACGGCTTGGGATAACTTCCTGAGTTTCAAGGAACGAAATATTCATGGTGAATCAATTACCTCTTAACATGTGCTTCCCTTGTCCTGTGTGTGGAATATGAGTAGCTTATCCAGACACTTCCCCTCACTCGGTGACCCAGCTGTCCATGCTGTCCTACATCGATAACAGGGTAGGTTTGTGCAAAGTCGGAGACAGACGCATATTGACGCATGGTCATTGGAAGCCTCCACCACTGCCATGCAAATACCCAACTCTGGATGTTTGGGTTGACGAGGTAGGAAATCCTTGAGACGCCGGCCCGAGTCGCGTTGCGCCTAACGGCCTAACGGCGACAGAGTCGGCAGACGTCCAGTAAAGCAACATTTTTTAGGACCCGTTCACGTGTATCCACGTTGAAGGATGGTTTTCTCTAGGGCAGACCTGTCCCGCGACCATCTGTCAGGACATTTTGTTTATGGATTT